CCTGGCTGGTGAGGCCCCTGCCCTGCTGGTCATGTTATTGAGCTTGGCTCCCTGTCCCTTAAGGAGGAGCTGGCCCTTGCTGCTCCCTGACAATCTTATTTGTAGTCAAACGGAAATGGGCACTTGAAAAGATCAGTTAATTTTCAACGCCTACTGTAAGATGTCCAAAGGAGCCAGAGCCTCCAGATGCAGCTGCATCCACTGTCCCTAAAGTGACCACACTGAAAATACCCAGAGAAGCAGCAATTTGAGATATCCTAGCACACTTAAAATTCTTATGAGACACTAAACTTCATCAAGTCCGAAAGAAATTCCAAATCAAACACTAGGTTTGAAAGGAACACAAACTATAGCAAGGAATGGTGATAGTTTTGTATAGTGTCCTTCCCCCACCTAACTCCCCTGACAAAATAGAAGACTTCAGAGCTAGAAACACGGAATAAGAAAAATAAAAATAATTGTAAACAATCTCTGATATGCTCACTGTAGAGGGATTTTTTCTGGTTTTTTTTTAGAGTGCATCCTTTCCTTAATTTTTGTTACCTGAAAGTTTAACAACTTCCTGTTGTTTCCATTCTTTCAAAAAGTTCCATTCAGCACCTGAGTCTCTAGGAAATACCCCTGCTTTCTGTCATCTTTGAGACTGGCTGCATTTCTGCTCCTTTCTTGCCTCTGGGAATTCCCAGCCTCCGCAGCTGCTGCAGGCTTTTCGCTGGTGAGACTGTCATTTCCTCATTCTGCTCACCAGGATGAGGTTCTCTTTGATGAATGTCATCAACTGCCCTTAAGGAAGGAGTAATATCACTCACCCACAGAAAAATTCTGGTCAGCCCTAAGGAAAAAAGGGAGGCTAAGAAATTTGTGAGCTTTCCCCCTGATGCACCCTTGATAGCCTGACAGCTTGATAACCTTGGTAGGTTATCATACGATACCTGTGAACAAGACAGACAAAATGGCTCACGTTCTACAAGTATCTGTTTCTGCCAACTGCCTAGAAAAGAAGCCCAAACAACGTGATGATCAGCGTACCAACCTGTCAGAATCTGTTCAGACATTTCTTCAAAAATTGCTTTGACAATGATTGTAACGCATGTCTGCAGTCCCCAGCCCAATGACCCCAAAGGAGGTTCTCCAAAGCCATACCCACACATGTACCTCAAAAGGATCTCCAGAGCTGAAATCAAAGGAAATGATCAGATCTGTTTTCCGCTGTGCTCGAAGGACCAGAGGATAGGCAGAATTTATTGCCAGGCCAGCGTCAATCAAAGAGATGATTTTGTTTTTGACCAGGTAAGAGGGCTGATCCAATGAAAAAAGGCAATGAGATTTCATAAAGACATATACGAATACATATATGTAGACACGTGACCAGCCCCAAAAGAATCCATTGGTCTTCACTGATGATGCACCCCAACAATGTATTGAGACCTGCCTCTCCTGCCCAACCAGACGTCCAACCGTATTCTGACAAGAGGAATCCAAATCCCTCTGACCTACCTCTCTCTGACCGTGGTCAGTTGCAGACCAGAATTCCTGATGCGCTTTTGGAAAGCCACGAGGTCACACCCCTAGAATTATGCACCCACAGTTTTAAGATAAGAAGATCTTTGAGCAGAAAAATGAACGCATGAGCCAGCTAGAGATCATGACACCTACCTGCAGTTGTCTAAATGCAGGTTTCTACTTACACGCTAGGTGCCAAAGCTTCCATTATCATCAGTGAACATCCAGCTAGGGGAGGCAATGGAATCTAGAGACCAATGTTACTGCTCATGCAACAGGAGCACAACTCAATTTCATAAACTTAGCTGTCCAGTTCCAACTCCTTCGGTTACTTCTTGTGTCCTCCAGGTTCTCTTCCAAAAGGGCACAGGGGTCCTATAGGTTTTATTTTGTGTCTTCCAACTTAATGCTGTTGTCCCTTGTACACAAGGGCAGTTTGTGTGACATTAGATGCTTGTGTTTATGTGACAGAATTGAGCTTATATATCTGCAATGATGTTGCAGACCTGGATTCCAGTAGTGTGAAATAATTCTGTTTATGACTAGTTTATTCGCTGCCCATAAGGGAATGCTGTTAACAAAGGGTGGATCCTGGGAAGGAAAGCTATCTGACTCGCTGTTTTAAGAAGGTAAATGGCAAAGACAGTTTTCTTGGTTTAACATCACACAAACACAGCATAAAAGCTCTGCTAAACCCCATGCATTCTGCCCCCTAGATCTAGTCGGATACCATAACCACTCTGTATTTTCTGAATATAAACAAATCATAATTTCATTGGATTTTCTGACGGCAGTTGTAAAGGAAGTTATTAGTCGTTCCCCATTTCCAGGTCAAGGCACATTGGATTGTTTTAAGCACCATCCTACCAACATCCCACACTGAGCCTGGGAAGAGACAATACAATTCAGAACATAGCTGAATCTAGAGAATGTCACTTTTCGACTGGTGCGACAAAATCTGGGGGAGATGGGTGGTGGTAGAAGAAATATGTGCAGAGAGTGTACAGCCAGCCTGCGGGCCAAGGCCCGAGCGCTTCAGAAGAAGAGGAACCATGCTTTCCACTGGTTCAAACAATTAACATTAAGCAATGGAATCTTAGTACAGCTGAAACAGATTTGAGTAAGCCGCTCAGGGCACAAACTATACAGAACTTGGGCCCTAGACCAGCTGGCATATTCCCAAGCTTGAGGCTCACAGGCTCTGGAGTGGACTGATTACACCAGCGCTGTCCAAGAGTGAGGCCTGATCTTTCCTGGGCCTCTTACAGCATTCTTGTGATTCAGAGGGATTGTTATTTCTCTTCACCTTCTTTCCAGCTGAAAGGGCCCTGAATAAAATGAGAGCCATGCTACAGCTTGGTCGAATGACCTGTACGAGGTGGGGGACGTTAGCTGAAAGCCATGAGAGCACCAAGAGATCATGTGAGAGAATGTGAGAAGACCAGCCCAGTGAAAGAGTTTGGAGGACTGTACTGTGCAGACAGAGACAATCCAGGCCTCATCTGTGAACACACTCCTTGGAACAGGCATTGGAGAGAAAAAAGACTTGTCTGCAATGTCCAGATTTAGTCTCAGAGTACCAGTCAGTTCACTCCAGAAGGAACTGGCCAAAACCTGCCCATACCCTGGGGCTGATGGAACGAGCAGAGCCCTGGATCTAAACTTTGGACCTGAACTGAAACAGAGTGAAACAAATCAGCAAAATAAGAGCTACCAGTCCTCACAGTAGGATGTATCGAATTTGGGAAGTGTTTCTCCCTGTAAAGTGAACATGCTGGGATTATAGAATATTTAGACATCCAGGCTGGAACTATTTTATTAACTTCAGTAGTCTACAGTGTAGGTCCCTAACTTCCCAAAACAACCACAGAAAATTGGTCAATGTAGACAGTGGAGTGTAGACAGGCATTCAGATGTTCCAGTTTGAACATTTAAAGTGAGACAAACTGCTCTCCAGAATTCATATACTACTATGCATGCATTCATGGAATAATAGATGCATTCTTGTTACCTACAGAAAGATACAGAACAGCTAAACCTGTATTTTCTTCTACAAAGCGGAATTAGGAAGATTTACCTTGCATGTAACAAATGTGTTTCTTCTTCTTCTTTTTCTTCAGCTTACCCTTCTCAAATTCACTTCCAAAGTGTTTGGTACTCACAAAAGCACCCAAGGCAGCATATCCAGCCTCATGTGGAGTGAATTCAAACCAGGTCCCTGAGAAAAATCAAACAGCTTTGTCACTCAGTATTGGGAAGCATAGCTGACCTCACTGTCCCAAAGTAGCATTTTGGTTGTCTTTCTCCTCCTTTCTAAAATCCTCTGATATTAGCTGACAAAGGTGAATTGGCATATGGGGAACAAACTTAGTCGTAAGCGTCCTACCACCTGCTCTTCAATATGCTGTTGGTATCCTTCCTGTCTTGGCCTCCAGCTGCCACACCAGAAAGGTCTTGGTTTCCCACAGATCATGTGTCACATTGTACAGCTCTGTGCAGATCTCTCAGATGTGTTAGACATCTCAAGGGCCTCTCAATGCTTATGCATAGGTGACAGAGTCTGCCTGCCGTAGCACTCTTTAGGGTCGATGAAGAGAAGAGATTGGGCTTGATTCAAGTACCCACAGATATGTAACTAGGAACCCGTGGTACCTAGGGACCTATGGTGAACGGAGTCATCTGCATGGGGCCAACAGTTATGACACAGGACTGAAATAACACTCATACTCTTTTAGAAAAGTAGGGGAAGTAGGCAGAGTATGGTAAGGCATCTCAAATGGAACCACAGGCCTCTGTGTGGACAACTGAATCAAGTCTATTTGCTCCAGAGAGGGATCAATTATTTTAACAGGTATGGAAAATAAAATTTGATAGCAATGGTGAAACTTTTTGTTGGTTGTGACTATTATCCCGCACCCACCTGCCCAAACTGCAAAGCCACCTACTCTTCATTTCATAATCCCTTCCTTGATCACACTTCCTTTCCAGAATGAAGTTTCCAGTTCTCACTCAGACCTTCCAGGATTATCACAATTCCAGGCCAGCTTGTGCTTTATAAATCAAGTCCCATCACCTTAAATCAAAGCCTACCTTCGGTAAGTGGAAGGAGACGATCTGTCCTCTGTGCAAGTAGGGATAGGAGGGACAGTCAGAGTTTTAAACTGTAGTGAGGGAAAAGTCAGTTTAATGGGACAGGGTAAAAGTAATTGTTTGAAAGTAAACTTCTCCATGTGAAGGCCATCTCCCTAACTACTGAAAAAGGATATAGTTGCCTAGTTCAGTTTCAGAAGCACTGGATTATTTTGGAACTCCACATAGGGCTGACAGATGTGATAGAGCATTTACAAGAGATCTGCACCCTGCTGAACACTCAGATGGAGGCCAGGGAGATCTATGATGGCACTAAATGCCTGTATTCAGGCTTCTACATTTTGACGATCTATTTTATTGACATTATATTTAATCTGTTTAGCCCATTCTATTCTAGGGATGCCTCACCTTATCCTATCATGAAAGGCACTTTTACCAAATGTGATTTGGCCCCTGGAAGTGCCTGTTTTTCTCCATTGTCTATAAACAAAGACATAGGCTGACAAACTGCAATTGGATGTCAGCACAGTTAATGCCTGCCAAGGAACCTGATGCATGGTATTTAACACATAGGAGCCCATATTTTACCTGGAAAGTTTCCACCTTCCTCACTCAGTTTTTCCTTATCCACTGCTGCATAAATCGGGTAAGGGTTTATTCCAGTCTCTGAGGCCTCCTTGTGGTCAGCCAGCTCATTCTCATCAAACTAGAAGATAAGTATGGACTTCTGAAGGAACATAAAATGCCCCTCCCCTCTGCTACAACACTGAGGACAGCCCCACTTAGGAGACTGGATTAACCAAGGAGTTGGATTAACGGCTTCTACCTTTCCATATCTAGAGATAAGATGTCATGCTCTAAAATATTGTTTCAATTTATACAGCTCCTCAAAAAAACACCCACCGAGGTCAAATGTAGTTGCAGTTACTCTGAGATCTTCAAAACACTCCCAAGGTGTTTGCAGTGAGCTTCTTACCTGCTGCAGTATTTTGTGTACAAGACAGGAGGCCCAGAAGTCAGTGAGTGAGTAAAGTTCATCTTTTGATGACTCCTGTAGGGATTCTACTGCTTTCATAGTATTCCAGGAGAAATTACTGAGGTTTTTGCACAGTTCCTTTTCCAAGGACATCAGATTTTCTGACCATTTCCCATCTCCATACAAGAGGGACGTGCACCTTTTAAAGAGAAAGGCAAGTCCTATCTCTAGCATAGGGGAAAGTGAATGGGACTTTGCTTTTTCTGTTTGAATCTGCATGCAGATACAGGAGTGTCTTTAAAAATGTATGGGAGGAGGAAGAAGTCCCAGGCTTCTACAGAAGCAAGGCACTTTACATCATAGAAAGGTGTCATTATTCCTTGACCACTTACATCCCAGCTGCATACTGATAACATCATTTAATTAGTTAGATGAGCTGAAGCTGGATTTCAGCTGCGTACGTGCCATATATTAAGGGTAAATTGCTGCAGGAATACAGGTTTTGCAGCTAGCATTAGTGGGAAAGATGCGAAATCTGCCAAGACACAAATAATCTATCAAAGAGCTCAGAACAAACTTAAACACATAGAATGTTTCACATTGTGTCATCATTTTGCTCTAGAGGCTTGTGACCTTTTTTTGTCTGTTATTAGGACCAATAAATCTGGTACACTTACTGAGTGACATCATCTCCTACTAAACTTACAGTTCTCAGCTCATGCTATCTACCTGCAGAGATGTAAAGGCTCAGTCTATTCCAAGACCAACTCCACAGCTTAATTCAGGTATAAATTAAGGTGTACAGCATTACCTTCTTCATCTAGAGCAGCATGTGTCTTGACTCTGTGCAAGGAAGGAGATGTTCTGGATTACTGCAGACATGGTACCTAACCATAGACAGTGACAGTTGAGGTGGACTGAAATGTCCAAGACTTCCACCCTCATGTGGCAGACAATAACACAAGATCTGTGAAAGACCTGTGTCCTCTTGAACCAGCTGCTGAAAACCAGACGGGATTTCCTCCTAGGGCATCTGAACTGTCACTGGAAGTCTGTCTTTAGAGAACATAAACCTATCCCCTTCAGTAAAATGGAAGGAGAGGTGTGTACGTCACATACAGATACATGTACTGAGACGTCTAAATTTAGACAGAGTTCTATCCTTACAGGGCAGGTGTCCGTATGTGACCTGTAAGCTAGACTCCCTTCACAGTCACTTCAGTGTAACGACCAATCCTGGCATGTCATTGACACGCTGCACGTGGGCCCTAAGGTGAAATGGCTCATGTTCCTGAACGTCATTTCTTTTCTTTGCACATAAGGTAAGCCTAAAAAAGTAGATGAAGTATCAACATTCAAGACCATAACCATACATATATAATGCATTTAACCTGCCACAAGGATGAGTGACATCACCACAGATTTGGCAGATTTGATGCAGTACGTGCAGGAGACCCGGTGGTCTTCCAAACTGCTAGGGGGCCGGCAAAGTAAGTACCTGAAATGGCACGAGGTATTTACATTTAGGCACCTGGCTCGCTCCCATACACTTGAGAGATGTAGCTTAGTGGCATGGGCACCTCTTAAATATACCACAGCCTCTATTTAAACAAGCCTTGGTGTTCTGGGTAGTATGCTACCTAGAAGTTTTCAACGCTTTCCTGGCTGCTTACCCCTTTTCTGCTCCCCACGGCCTGTAAACAGGGGGAATTGCCTGCTCCAGGAGGTAAGACCAAATGGCCAAGTGAGCTCTTTATTTGAATCACCATTGAGAGGCGCTAATTTCTTCCTCTCTGGGGGTGAAAGGTCAGTCTTGCTGAACTGTAGTTAATGTCACAAATATTCCCTGTGCCTCCCACCATTGCACAGGCAAGTGTCTCACCTACCGCTGGGTTCATCCGTTGTGAGCCCAACAGGGAGTTCTGAACAGTGATGAAAGTGTCGGATTGCCATTGAATCTATGGAGCAGGAAAAACATTTGCAATCACACCAGACAACAGGCACCTACCAAGTGGATCCTGACACGCCACACAGATACATGACAGCATCCAAGAAATTCTGATTCTTCAGCTCCACCAAGGTTCCTAGCAAGGCTATCATGGCACGCAGGCCTCCGCCTGATCCCAGAACAACAATATTAGGCACATTATTCTGCGGAGTGGAAGACAGAAAACATATTTCTTTTAGAGCAAAGGCTTAACAAACAGACAGGGATAAAGGCTATTGCAATTCTCACTTGACCTGCTTCCTCGCTTTAGGACACATTCCACAATATGCCTCTTTTCCCCTATTTCTCTTTTTCTTTTACATCACAGTCACAGAATGGGTTCTCTTTTGTATTGTGCTATCACTTGTCTTCCTGGTACCGAAATTTGTTGTGGCTG